AGGAAAGACAGAAAGATGGATTCAGGAAACACATTCTAAAGATAAGGTTCATACTGCAAGAGCTTAGTAATCTCCGGCATGGATAAACACAAGCTTTCCTGTACACTACACACACAGTCCCCTCTCACTCAAGATCTGGAGTTACAAACTGTCTTGTACATCCATTAGAAGATCCAGCTACTGTTCAAGTACCAACAGAGTAAGTGCTTGGCAACTGCAGCAGCAAGCAAAGGAAGCATAAGGCAGGTTTAGTTCCTAGAGCTCACAGCGGGTGGTTTTTGGAAGTCTCTTGCAACAGCAGATAGGCTCTAAGGATAACCATAAGTGTCAGGAGCCTGCCACAGGAGCACCAAATGGTGATGATACACATCTCTAAGAGCCACAACAGGCAAAGGGTGCTGCAGATTCACACATCTCACCATGGACTGTACGTGAACCTTCTGAAGTGCAGTCAGTTTGGTACCCCTGGGGACTAGCACCCCTCTGCAACAACCCAGAGGTAGGGAGATGCTTACAACAGGTCTCAGTTTAAAAAGCAAAGTTGGCTTATGATTTATTGAGCTGTCGCCCTCTACAATGAAACACATGCACCAATTCCACGTACTGTTTGAAAAGCAACTTTTATGCTGTTACAAACCATAAGTTCCTGCATCAGACTGTGGTCGTCCGCTCCTAAAACAAAGGTATTTACTCACAGCTTGAAACCTTGAGGCATCTTGGCATATCCAACTGCTATCATGGCAATAATCTGATTGGCTTTCCTTCCCAGTTCACTCCTGGAAGGAACTATTTTGACTAAAAACAACAAACCAGAAGTGAAGCATACTTGGGCTGCAAAACGTGGTTTGGGTTTATTTCTTTCTGGGGTTTTTCACACCACCTGAAGAGGGGAGGAAAACCACTTTTAGAGAACATTTCCAGGTAACAACCCCCAGATTTTGAGCAGGACCTCATCACTTCCTATGGCACTTGAAGGGAGCGACGGGCTCCTCAGCTTTACCCAAGCAAACAGACTTTAGTCTGAGCAAGAGCCAGGCCATAAAAGTTCAATACAGCCTACCCAGTTTTAGATGCAGCAGTTACTGTGCAGCCTCAAATGCTGCATTTCAGCAACCACTGGGGTTTCAGAGCACCCAGAAGTGGTAAATTCACAGTGTGGAAATAGAGGCACACTTTAAAACATAACCCCAAAAAGCAACCAGCAGATCCTGACAGCAAATCTGACGCAGACTGCAGCACCACTGCTGTCCCGGGCCCTGGAGATGTCGTTTGTCAGCAAAACAAAGATGCTGAATCCTTGCAACCTTGGCACAGAGCGCACAAAACATGACTGTCAATACATCAGTTGGTGTAAATACAACTCAGAGCTCAATACACATGCGTTTTAGGTAAGTTTTAACAACATCAGGATGATGCAATGAGATTGTTAATGCAGATGCTTCATTTAGTGTATTCAGCGTGGCAGCATGTCTGGGGACAGGAGGAGAGATGCACAGGCCAGCTGGCTGTACAGCCTCCAGATAGCCTAATAAAAATGTCTAGAAGGCAGCTATGAAGGTAATAAATATAATAAATAGATTCTCCAGGACATCTGCTTATGTATTACTCTGTCCCAGTCCCATTAGCCAAGAGTTAGACAGGTGACAAGGACTGGTTCCATCAGGGACTCCAAAGCAAAAATTGGACCTGTGTTAGGGGCTTGGGGATTTCACCCATAAGTGCAAGAATGGTCACAGTTAACAGCAGGTTACAGAGACCCTCCTGCAGAGCAGACATGAACCCTCTCTCTGCACCTCCAATAACTCTCCCCATCTCTTGGAGAAAAGCTTTAAGTGGATTCTGCTAATTCACAAAGCAGAAAGCTCCTCATTCCACGATGGTGCTGGCAGAAGCGGTCTTGTGGCGAGCGCAGACTTGTCATGTCATTTGCTTGCTCTGTAGAGCAGGTTTAAGTTTAAACAACGTTTTCACACACTTCCTCTCCCTCACCCGTGAGACAAGAGTCCATGCAATGAGGCCTCTGTGCTGTTAGATCTTAAAAAGCACAAACAGATCAGTAACCAGACAGACTGTTTGTTTTATGTATCATGATCTTGATGTACCTACCTAAAAGTTTGAGCTCTTGTTTGAAACAAATTCCTCTGCCTCTTTGGAGGACATTTTAGACTGGCTGCTCTTAACAGCCTCTGCTCAACAAGCACAGTCACTCCAACTGTCACTCCTGCTGTCCTGCTGCCAGTCTTTTCTGCACGCTCCTCTTCGCCTCAATATATATCCCATAGCTCATCAGTGAGAAAAGATAAAGAGCAGAAACCTAACACAAAAAGCTATCTAGAAATTGCAAGGCACTGGACTAGCAATGCTGTGGGGCTGGATCCAAATGGAACATCTGTCTCTTCTGAGAGAGCAGTCCCTAGATTGTGCAGAGACATGGGGACTCAGGAGGAAGGAAATGAAGGCTGGACTTCATGATCCTCCAGACTGATCACTGCAAACATCTCCCGACACCAAACACATCTACGTGCTTATGCTTAGGTCTTAAGCTAATTCCACTGCAAGCATTAACATCTCTATGCACTAACATCCTACTTAATAAATACTGAAAAGTTATTTTATTAACCCAAACATGCTTTAGTACTACCAGAGTCGTGCATTCCACATCCAGTTAACGGGACCAGTTAACACGACGAGTCTGGGCTCGCTTGATGCCAACCATGATAGCCTGAGGTAGCGTTTGAGCACATTTTACAGGAGTGCAGGAGACAACAGGACTCCTCATCAGAGGAATTTTACAAATGGCAAAAATCCCACCCCAAACACTGGCTGGAGCTACAACCAGGTCACCTGAGTTCCGCCCCAGGAGAGCTTCACCAGCCTGGCCTTGCCCAGGCAGGCAGGTAGGAATGTCAGGCTGCTGCTGAGCGATACCTCAATGGCACTGAAGCTGATAACATACCTCGCTCTTAAAGCCAAACTCAGACCATTGCCTTTTTACTGTCTGGATTTTCAATAGCTCCTACTTGCTATGCTCCCTTGAAATCTGGGGATCAGATATACTCAAGAGCTCTTTACATACATCTGCTACTCCTCCACGGCAGGGCTCCAGGTTGACTACTTACCCCTTTTGACTGTATTATTTTTATGCTGCTGTAATCAAACCCATTTAACACCCACCCCCTTGTTTTCCCTGCTAAGGCTCTTGGTTTCAGTTAGCTTTCTGACCCTGGTCACAGGAGGCAGGTGGTTCAGATCACCACATCAACAGCAGGTTGTCATTTCCTACCACAGGAAGTTATTTCAAATCTATTAAAAAAGTGCTCCTTTCAAACCTAACCTACAATTGTTGCTAAGTGCCCACAACAATTAAATACCTCCCATCCCTTCCAATACATTATGTATACTGAGATCAAGTCATGAGTTGATCTTGTGACTGCTGGAAGGCTAAGAGTGGAATTAAAAATCGGAGTTTAGCCGAGTACAATTTGAGCCTTTGGGAATTGTGCTTTCCAGCTTTCCTCTCTGTCATGGAAGTTGTAAAATGAAGCAACAGCAATTTTTAAATCATCATTTCAGGAGAGAAGACTGAAGGAAACAAACCAGTCACCTTCCCCAGGCCATGCAATCACAGGACTGCGCTGAAATCATGGGAACGTGCAAGCATTTTTCTATTGCGGATTCATCCAAGTTGGCCCCAAACCCAAAGGCCAAACCTTGTTCAGACCTTCTGAATACAAGAAATGACAGCTTCTGTTGTTATCTACTCACACAAACAACATTAAGGAAAGAACTGTAACAGCCAAAGAGCTCATAAAGGGAGAACTGTTTCACCTTCACTTCCCCTCTACTCCCTCTGGAGGGAATCTTAAGCCTTTCCTAAAAGTTGACTGGAACGCTTTAGTGCTCCTGCTGCTGGAGAATCTACCTGGTAGACAGAGTTCCTGCTTTTATTAAGTTTAGCTGAAATAATTTATTAAGTTTAGCTGAAATAATTCTTTTGATGGCTTAGAGGATAGGAGACAAAGCTTACAAGGCTTCAAGAAGTCCACCCTTAAGACTACGACCACATTATGAAATCACCGTTAACACTTGTCACCATTCGATCAGCTGAGTGTCACTGGAGAAGCATTCATCAAAACTGGTTCTTCCTGAAGTAACTGAAATCAGCATTTACAAAAGGTGAGCATCTCCAGGCAAAACAACCCCAGTTTAAAGAAATCCCTGCAAATTCTCGGTGTTCTCTCAACTCTGGAGTAGATGTTTGATGATCTGCATCAGTAGCAAGTAGCTACACATCCACTGAACATGCTGTTTTAAGCAGCAGGTGCCCCTATGGCATAGGATCACGCTGTGCTTCAGCTTCTAGATGTACAGCTTTTCACAGATCCCATGTACACAATGGCCTCATCAGGAGAAGAAACACAGCTAGAGGACAATCATCACTGCTGAAGTCTCTCCTGTGAGACTCATGCTAACCAGGCAAATCCAATTCACCTCTTGATGGCAACAGAGACTTTTAACCAGAGAGCCAGAGTTCGTTAGTATGGTTATTCCTCTCAGAACATTCTGATGATGGCCCAAATCCCAAGGAACATCACAGGACACTGGAGGGAGCTAAGGAACAACACAATCAGGGTTTGTTCCTCAGATACAAAGTCTCCACATACACAGAGGAGTGGTGTCTTCAGGCAGGACACCTCTTCCTGGATGCAAACAACAGTTTGGTGAATATACTCACTGACAGTTTTGCAAACTGCTCCCAATAGGTATTTTTTAGTGTTTATCTGACATTCTCCATTGGCTACTGCAGCAACCCCTGCCCTGGGAGCATCATTCAGGCCAGTTCAATGCATTTTCCAGTAAGGTACATATAAGACAGTTGTGCAAGATTAACAACAGAGAGAAAATGATGCAGAACAGAACAACAATAAACCCCCTTGCAGAACATTTTACACAGAAAGAGATCCTTGAGGACTCTTGCAAGCCTCAAGTGACAATCTTACCTTCTGGGCTGGGACCGGCATTCTTCTTCCCCACTGTCTGCCTCCTGCACAGATAGGAAAGGAGAAAAAAGTTAATATACTTTAATATATGCAGAATGCAAAGACTTGCATTTCACTGGTCTGATTGTAGAAGGCAAAGGAAACTCTCACTGCTTCTGCATGTCACTGTCACTGCAGAGGAGCTCACTCTCTGCTCCGCTGTCACTTCGGGTTCTCTCAAAACTCACTTAAGAACTCAACAGCCCAAGAATTTTTGCCATTGCAGGACCTAGCATGCTCTGGTGTGGACTTCCAGCGACCCCTGCCAAACAAGGCAGGCTGAGTAAACACACAGTTTACTTCTGGACAAGAAGCTCTGGGTTTTCAGTTACCTTCACATAGATCATACTAATTCACAGTCAGTGTCAGCAATCGCCTGTGAGAATCCACAAAACCAGCAGGTAATGAACTGACAAATAGGACTGAGTGAGTGTAGATAGATTAGAAAGTAGAAATTTGACATCCTATGCTGCTTGAAATGCAAAATTAATATGCACAATCTCTACCATGCTGTGGAATTTTACCAAGCCTACCTACTAAAGCCCAAGGCAATACCTCAGTCGAGAGATCTCAGCAATTAATTCTCTGCTGTGGAGTACATTTATGTAGGCATTGCTTATGATCTTTGAAGGGTTTTAACAGGTCAGCCCTGTTAAACTGAGAAAGACACTAACAGCGCAGTTATCACCACTGGCTTTGCCCAATCCCCAACCTTACCCCACTACTTTGAGTTGCACTACCTGATGTAATGGCCTCACAGCATTACGATGGTGGGGTTAGATGGGGATGACCAACATGAGCATAAGAGAAGAACCACACCACCTTTCATTCAGGATGCTGCACCACCTTAAGGGCTTGGTGGGCTAAATGTCCCAGGCAAGATCAGCAAGACAAACAACTGGGAGCCAGCATCAGCTGAGCAGTTAGATTCCTTTGAGCAGATCCATTATTTATCTCAAGTGATGCTGAAGACGGCATTAGCTGTTGTGGGTGTGTTTGTTATTGCTGGAACTTCCCAGCTCCTGCCAGAGCAGGGGCTCTGCTGAGTTCCCTGTAGGCTGACAAAAAAGTTGACTGGTGGGAGCAAGAGGTCGGAGGAGAAGGGAAGAGGTTTCATTACATGCAGGACAGCTAAAGACACGATGGGGTTTTTGAATAAGCCAAAACCAATCAAAAGCATGTATCTGGCTGGAGAACAAGTTCCTTAAACCCAGTTAGGTAAAACAACTGAAAGAGCACTTGAGATCGCTCCTGTGCTGTTCAGGAACCCAAGCTATGCAAACATTTTTAGTACTATAATGAACGGCCTTTTCCACACGCCAAAAAAATCCTTGTCACAGCAACTGGCAAGCCTGCTATGCCACAGCCAAAAGTCCCACAAATGACAGGAGAAGATCCTGAAATACACAGATCATTTTCCTAGCTCCACTCCAAATTCAGCCCGCAAGAGCTCCATGTGGAGGAGGCTAGACATGGCCCAATTAATTACCATCTGTCGTTGCTGAAGCTCCTTTAATATTAGACATGAATGTGGCAGATCCGTGTGAGGAGCACATCTATTCAGAATGTAGCTGTCTACAGGAACAGAACTGCAGACAAGTGCAATCTGAGCAAGAGATCCATTTCCAATACCTGGGATGTTCTCTCATCTTCATCCCATCAACCATGTTCTTTGCAAATGCATCTGCACCTTCCCATGGACAGAAGGATTTCAACATGAGAGAAGATACAGCCAATGCTCCCATATTTCAGATATCCCACTGCTATTTATCCTCTTCTACAAGTCCATCCACAATATCCAGTGTATTCCATACCCATCCTGCAGTTCTCTGTGCTGTGTTCTGGTCACTATGTATTTCTGCAGCTGCAAAACATCACAGAAACCTTAGGAACCACCAGCCAAAACTAAGCTGCAATGACAAGTCACCCCACTAGAGGGGAGGGCAGGACAGAGATGCGCCCACTGCATGGTCAAGTGCAAGCTCCAGTGAAGGCAATGACTCCAATACTGGCAGGACCATCACAACAAGCACCTTCACATTTTCTTGCCATTTTCAGAGTATTTCCAAAGAGGAGGAAGTATCGCTGGCTGCACAACAGTTCATCAGCCAAAGAGTGGATCAGAACATTCCTTTCTGAGGGCATCTTTGAGAAGGTGGTTTAGACTTTGAGAAGGACCACTCTTGGACAGCACCCTTGGGTACTGAGCCCAGCCATATGGAGGTGTGACCCATGATGGTGACTTTTGCACAGGCAGCATCAGGAACCCTGGTCCTGCCCCACGTTTCCCATGCCCTGCAGCACTCATGCTGTACTCACTGCAATGGGTACAAGAGACAGCAGCTTGTACAAGAGACAAATGCTCCTTGGAGATTCCTGATGCTGGATTGCTCCAGCCTCAAACCAGCTTCCTCCACCAGCCTGCAAGGAAGAGGAAGCTGAGCTGCACTGATGAGCTCCAGAGGGAGTCATGCCCTGTTTTCCTTGACCAGAAACAAAGGCCTCAGGGGAAATGGAAGGAATGAGTCGCATTGCTCTAAACTAGGCCACGATATTAAATGCAGTTTAAAGTGAAAGATGAAAAATTCCATCTCTGCTCCTTTCAGGCCATGTAGGACAGAATATGCAAAACATTAATCCTATTTGTGCTTTGATCCTCTGCCAACTATCTGTCATCAAAAGAGCAAGGGAGAGGAGAGAAATTTCTGAGTGCTATTCTGCTCTACACAATGGGAGTCGCTCCATGTCACGCAAACAGTTCTGCTCTTAGAAATCTCCCTTTTGCAGGCTGATGTAATGATAAACAAGAGTCAGTCTGCATTCTTGTGTACAGGGGCTGAAGCTGTCTGCCTGTAGTTAACATTGCACTGTAAGAGATATGATTATTAGCATAAGCAATGTGTCTAACATTCACTCCGTTTCTATTAACCAAGGAACATTTCACACAGACTACACCCTAAAAAAATACATCTTTCAAACCTTGAAAGAGATTCCGATTTAATAGCTACTTGTTCCATGTGATTTTATGCCAACATACCTGACTGTACAGACAATGCCTGGGAAGTGTTTATCAGGAATGTGACTGGTCACAGCCATCGATATCAAAGCCCTGGCAATTCAGGCAGTTTTCACCCCACAAGTCACCATTTTGCTCACAGCTGTGACATGCACACTTCAGACATTACAGAACTCCTCTCCCCCTTCTGTGTTTTCTAAATCTTGGCCAGGATTTGCTTTTTGGATGGGCAGCTCCAGTACCTTCATTGTGTGGTCCGCTTTCCCCCTTTACATAAATCCTCTGCACAGCAACAAACACCAGCAGTGAGCGATCCCAAATTTCTCATAGGAAGGCAGAACCAAGAGGGAAAACCACTTTCATTTCTTGAAGCTGTTAATTTTCGGAGTCAGTATTGTTCTTTTTCTTTAAAGATCCTTAACAGGGGCAGAGAGACCTTGTGCAAGAGCAGGAATGCAGAGGCTGTTTTGTGAGAAGCTCCGTGAGACAAAGAACTTGAGGTTGTTTTACCTCTCCTAGTGAAGTGCAACTGGCTGCTGCTTATTTATACAACAGAAAATTAGTCAATATAGATCCCCCCAAACCTGCAGCAAGATTCAGATCTAGCCAGGCCATCAGGGAAGCTTTCCACTGAACACTGTCAGCCACCATTATGTGAACAACTCTGGACCCAGTCTCAAAGGAAATACTACAAAGAAAAGGCTTGTAATTAAATGAGCAATCTTCTAGTTCTCTGCCTCCCCTTGCCTTGGCGCGATCCCATCCAGTTGTTCAAACACACACTAAGTGCCTCTGAGCTGAACACGACCTTTGCTGGGAAGAAGGCAGCTGCTTCAGTCAAATCAGAGGTTGTGCAGCCAGGCACAGATCCAGTTGTTAATCCATGCAAGCACTCCTCTTCATAGCATCCCCCTGACTCCCAGGGTATCTTTGTTTGGGCTACAGTGCACTGCAAGCTCCTCCATACATGAGCTCCCCTTGTGTGTCAGCAAGTTTTAAACAAGTCAGTACAAAAACCACCCTCCCTCAACTGTTACCCAATGCATGGATAACCCAGTCTGGTCAAGTATTGCAGAGGAGGTGCCATTACTGCAGCCACAGCCTTTCCTCTAATGCCATAGAAGTCACATACAGATAAGGGCATGCAATGGACGTTCAGATACCTCAGGGCTGGACTCAACTCTTGACACAGATATACAGTGACATTAGATATGCCCTGGGGCATCCAACATCTGCACGGACTGGCATGAGATGCCCAGTGAAGCAACTTAATAGAGGCCATTTAAGTCCAAGGGACCAGGATCTGTGCGTGGACATCACATAGAACTGAAAATCAGCACCTTCCAAGATGAAGCATTTGACAGAGGCTGATTCAAGGGCACAAGGCTGTTCCTATCAATTATCTCAAATTATGTGCTGGAACAAAGTAAGACAAACATTTGAGTCAGATTGCCAAAGATCTATTACACATTTCTGGAGCAGAGAGACTTTCATGCAGTCTGAGTTGTATCAATCTCTTAAATAAACTGTGTTAGCAAAAAGCCCACACATATGCATTTGCAGTAAGGCTGAAGTGCCAGCAACAACACTGGCTGGTAAAAAGAAATGAGGGCTGACTCCAAAACCTGGGTTCATGAAAGGTTGCCTTTTTATTTGCAAGAAACCCAAGCAGTTTGGTGATTTGACAGCCAAAGTTTGCAGCTCCACAGCTGCCACATGGAGAACAAAGACAAAATCTGCAGCAGTTTGTGTGAACGGATTTATTCGGTGTATTATGGAAACCATCAACACGGTGGCAATGTGCAGGTACTCACATAGAGAGGATGGGTCTCAAAGCCGAACTGAAAACCAGTTCACTTTAGAATCCCTCAGTCTCTGGAGATGCTGAACCTTAACCATTATTAAGTTATGAAACTAATTAATAAAGTCACCTGGTGTGCTCTAGAGAAGTAGCTCATTGCTGCTTTCCGAAATACATCTGCCATTAAA